TTTAAACTTCAAATTGTGTCAGTGCAACCTAAAGACCAACACGGTTACGGCGTGTCTGTAGCATGGCGTCAAATTTCCATGTATCGTAACTTCAGTGTCCAATCTCAACCAAACTTCACATGTTTGATAAGAGTCCCGACCTGAACACGTGTACATGCTGATATCCAGTCACAGTCATAGTGCCACCTACTGGAAACAGGAAGTAAGCCTGCAAGGGGCCCGATCATCGCTGCTTTAACTTCTTACTTCACCGCCGTTTAGGCAACTAAATTGTCTGTAGCGACCTTTATAAAGTCCCCAAGTGACGTACAGGAAAGCGTTGCCTAATATTCCTTAAAATCTCTCTTCCTATTACACATTTCCATGATATATTAGATTGATGTTCATGTTTTTAATAATTTAATTTAAATGTGAACTGGACGTAAAATAGACAGAAACTACAAACCTGGAATAGCTTTTTTTTATTTTAAACCCCATTGTCTAAATAGAAAAAGGTATTGAAGTACTAAGTGACGTGTGTATATATATATATAAAAACAGAGAGTTAACACACACACTTTCCGGTCCACTCCATCTCTGCTGTGTTTGCTTCTCTGAATTATTAAATACACAGAAAACAAAAAGCAAAGAGAAAAGAAAAGAGAGAGAGAGAGCGTGCAATCCTTCCTTCTGTTTCCACTCCCCTGTTTCTATTTTTCTTTCTCCTCTTCCATTTCTTCCTTTTCTTCAGCTGACCTGGCAAATGGGCTGATAGAGTTACTCTTCCTCTGTTCTCTCGTTTTATTCTCTTTAGCCCTGTCGTTTTTTATTTATTCCCTCCCGCTCTTCTTCCTTCTTCTTTTATTTCATTCAGAGTGTTTTCTTGTTTTGTTTTGCGAATGCGCGGAAAGCCTTCTTTTCATTGTCCGACCTTATTTTCTTTGTAAGAGACACTCACACCGGCCTGGGAAACTCCAGCAGACAATGGAGCAGAGGAACAAGTGTACGAATGAAAAAGAAAATAAAGCGAGGGAGGACAGAGGGGAAACAGACTCATAATGAGAGAAAGGGATATTTAGGGCGAGAGGAAAATGGGGGGGGAAGAAGAAAAGATCTTCTGGTGTTTGATGGGTGAAAGTCGATCGCTCGGGCTCGTCCCGCTTACAGCGACAGTCATATCTGTTTTTCTTTATAGAGATGAGAAAAACACAGAGATTGGAGAAAGGGATGAATGAGAGGGGTGATGGAGGGGAGAGAGTGACATATTTATGTGTCAATGGAAACCATATCTCTGTCGGGAAGAGAGGACGGAAGGAAGAAGCGGAAAATGTGACAAGACAAAGGCAGAGAAAGACGAGTGAGAAAGAGACGACAGAGGTCAACAATCACAAACATCAGGCCTCAAACAAGAACCTCTGGTACAAACAGATTTGTTCTTAAAGGTCCAGTGTGAAACATTTAGGAGGATCTATTAGCAGAAATAAAATATAATATTCATTTGTATGTTTTCATTAGTGTGTAATCACCTGAATATAGGAAATATTGTGTTTTTGTTACCTTAGAATGAGCTGTTTTTAGCTACAGAAAGCGTGAGTCGCCTTTTCACGAGTCTGTCATGTCGACTTAGAGATTAAAAACACTTCAGTTCAAGCAGTTCCACCTTAAAAATCAGTGGTTCTCCGACTGTTTCTTAAGATCCAGACGTAAAATCCTTCATCTGGTTCAAATCTAGAGTTAAAAAGCCACCAAGATCTAAACAGTGGATGATGAAAATGTGGCTTCAAACTGGATAAAAAGTCAATTTATGACAGCATCTTGAAGACAACCACAACGCTGACGCATGCACGAAGGGGATATGACACCATATGACAGGTGACTTTGAATCGTGGATGTATGAAGAGAACTGGATACAACGTTGGAGATGGCGCTCCCTTCATTCCTATTAAAGCTGCTCAGTGGCGCATGAAGCCAAAAAAGCCACTTTCAGCTGTAAAGAAATTACCTGGATGAATATGATGAGACTTCTGCCGGCCGAGCGGCTGACTTCCGGTTTAGCCCTTCAGTTAAATCTTCTAGAAAAATGTACTGGACCGAATGGACCAAATTCAGATTGTGTGTGTTGTGACGCTCGAAAGAAATGTATTCTCGGTTTTACACCAGGGAAGAAGAGCTGCTTCTTTCACATTATAAACTGTCAAATTGGCATCAAAGCTCGGTGCTGTTCCTGGAGGACTTGGGTTTGAACATTGTTGGAAACATCTGCAACAAAATATATAACATAAGTTTAGTGTTTATGGACATTTTAATGCAGAAATGTTACATATTATAGCTTTAAAGAGTGACTTTAACAATATGAGCTCTGTATAAATGTAATGCAGAATGAATATCATCATCGTGGCTTTCAAATTTTATAAGAGGTTCGACAGCATTTTTATTCCTTTCAGAGTTTGTTGGCAGATTTTGGCGTGCCAGCTCCTGGCCTACAGCTCAGTAGTTGATCTTTGACTCCGACAGCTGCCACAGGGTCTTTATGCAGGACGTCGTCCAGCATCATTAGACAATTACACTGAACATTTCTGGTTCCCTGTGAGTTGTTTTTTTTGATAACTTAGGAGTGTTTAAAACCCGAAAGATAATTAGATTTGCAGTGTAGTTTGTGTAGAAGAGTTATATTCGGTGACATGTGGACAAAAACAGATGTGGGAAGGACGATTTCAGCAGCCAAATCTAAATTAAACTCGAGTGGACAAAAGAGCAAGTTTTGAGAGAAGAGATGACGAAGGTAGATGGAGAGATGGAAAATAATCACACAAAAAAAGTGAAAGAAAAAAAAAGTGACAGAGGAGAGAAAAGAGGTAGAGAAGGAGAGGACAAGGCCAAGGAAAAAATGAGAAGTGTGCGAGAGAGAGAGAGAGAGAGAGAGAGAGAACATCTGCCCATCTGTTTATACTTCTTTTCTTCCCTGGTGTAAATGGCAGAGGGGATGAGGCCCAGCTGTCATCCACACACAAACACACACACACACACACACACACAGCGCCGGGAATTCAGTAGGCAATAATAGAGAGAGACGGTTGCTAATTCAAACTAATGGATGGAGATGAAGATGGATGAGAGAGGGAACAGGGGAGCAGAGAGAGAAATGTGGAGGGCGAGAGAGGCAGCGTTATACAGAGAGAGAGAGAGAGAGAAAAGAGGAAGAGTACAGGAATGAAGGTGTGAAGAAAGAGAAGTGATTGTTTTACTCTTTGGACAAATGAGAAACTTTATCCTGAAGATAACAAACAGGTTTAATAATATTAATGATGATCATCATATTGTTTATTAAGGTTGCGTTAATGGACACGATTAACAAATACTTACATAATGTCTATAAAGTGCTTAACAAATGGAATTGATTTGCTGTAATTAAACACGAGGTTATTGTGAAATACTGACACGTTTTCTTTCTTTTTAAAGAGTAAAACTAGATTTTCTTTCTAGATTTTTACACTTTAAACATTGAAAACTTGTGTTTTTCCTGCTGTATGAACTGACTTTTCACATCCGGTTGCAGTGAAAAAGATCCTCAGACTTCCAACTCTGTTTCACAAATCATGTGTGTTGACATTTTCCAGGAGTTTTTCTCTACAACAGAGGACAGCAGTTGCTTACAGACGTTCAATATAAGCTGCAGTTTCAGACAAATTGAAGTAACCGTTCAAATCAAGTAGAATCTGTTATTTTACAGTTAAAGTTTTATCACTGTGCGTGTATTTATGAACCACAGCAACAAGACATTTGTTATTAGGCTAAATGAATGTAGATTTTGCTCCCAATTCTGGAAAAAGATGACTCAATACTGAAAAGATGACTGCGAGTTAGTTCCACTTTGCATCAGTTTATCCAACCAACAGTCGAGTTTCAGACTAAATACGCAGCCAGGTTTACTGAGGCGATCTGAGTGAGGGGCTAAAATACAAAGATTTCCAGGATATCTGATCATTTTTCGAGTGTTTCCATGCTTTCTCTGCAAATGTGTTCCTGTTTTTTGTCTTTACAATAAACCCCTGTATGTATTTATATATTAAAAAACTCAAACATTCCTCACTGAAACTCCAAATTTAACCGTACAGAGTTTCTAAACATCAATGTCAGTGTGTCAGGTAGAGCACATTAACCTGCAGGTAACCACACGAACAACACTTCACCTGACCTTGGATTGAACATGAATGAATCCTGTTCAATCAGGATTTTTCCTCTACTAGAGGTAGAAATTTGATCAAGCACCAGAAAATCATGGACTTTGCTTCCACCACATCAACTTATTTAGTTATTTTATGTTGCCTTCAGGTTGCTCTTTTCAAACAGAGTTTAATTGGAGATTTTTTTCAAATAAGTTTTTACGTAGCGAACTTTAAACTCACATGACTGATGAGCTGTTTCTGCTCCCACGGATCCATGATCCTCACATTAACACATAAAACGCCCTACATCGCTTTTCAGTGTTTGAGGTTCAACTGTGCTCTTTAAATTATGTCATCTTGCCACGCCCTCTTCTTCCCATGGATGTATTGAGGAGAATTGGATACAGCGTTGGAGGCGGCGCTCCGTTCAGTCCTATGAAAGCTGCTCAATGGCGCTAGAAACCCAAAAAAAGCCACTTCACGCCATAGTATACGAGTTGAGTGCAAGGATTTGGGATTTAGTACCACACACTTCAGTTTAACCCTCCACTAACTTGAATGGGAATAAAATTATTTAATCGTGCAAACCTTTTAATATTTCCAAATGTCTTTTTGCTAAAAAAAAATGTATCCACCGTTTTACAGCCACTTCCTTTTAAGTGGAGGTTTATGGGAAGGAGTATTTTTCTGTCAGTGTCCATCACATATTGGCTAATTTTTGGCTTCCTAAGGGCCACCAACTGCCAATCTTGATGAACCAACTGGAAAAACAGTTTCATTTGCATTTTCTTTTGCTGATTTGCGACACATTTGGATGGAAACCCGGTTACTGTTAGGGTTATTTTATGTCTAAATATGAGCGCCTCTGTCTGTCTCTACCCAGGAGGGAGTGAGTGTTCTTGGGATAAGGAGCGTCTAACCAGCCCTCCTGCTGGATCCCACGGCGTAGGACCAGGAGGAGGAGGACCAGTAGGAGGAGCTGGAGGAGGAGGTGGTGCGGCAGGGGGTGGTGGTGGTGGTGGGAGGGGGCCAGCCATCGGCGCTGTCAATCAACAGCAACTCCAGCAGCAACAACAGCTACTGGCTAACAGTGAGTACACACACACACACACACACACACATATTCAGGGTGTGTGTGTTTAAAGGGGTGGCAATATTTGTTAATGTACGCCATTTAATCTGTTCCCATCTCCTGTATTAACACTCTGCCTGGATTAATCAGCACACACTCTACTAAATGACTCAATTTATCAACACCACACACACACACACACACACACACACACACACACACACACACACACACACTGTCACACACACACACACACACACACACACAGTCACTCTTAAGATGATGTGTTGGCAGTCAG